TTTGTACAAAGTACTGTTAATTAAAAAGAAAATAATTTCTATTTCTTATTGATGCGACGAACTATTTGTGTGTTTGTATCATTTGTAAGGGAAAGATCAAGTTTATTTTTTAAGTTTATCTAGTTTATTAAGAATGTAAGGTTAGAGAAACAACTATGTAAATAGCATTATCACATTTACATAACAGCATATTAATTCTAAGGCAATAACAAGATGGACATTTAGTGGTCGCTGCCCTAACCTAAACATAAGGGTGAATTGATGTACCAGAATTCATACTAATTGCGTCATTGTCTCTCTATTAAACGAACAAATCGAACATGTGATGAATAATTTAACTAAATCTGAGTGCACAAGTATATGAAGAACTGCATACATCTTTATAGGTTTACCTTACCAAATATACCAATTAATATGTACATATAGTTTTACTATAGACATCGGCTTACGAAAATAAATTTTGAGTGGCAAGTTTCGCAAATATGCCAATTGAAAAGATTTTGAAATAAATTTATTATTCACAGTATGCATACATACAGCGGCCACAAGGACCCAGAAACATTTGGTTGAATAGATGGATATGGAAATCCACACCTACAAAAAACATTACAAAGTTTTGTACTGTATTCAAGTTAGAAAAAACAACAACAACAATTTCTCATGTTTGTATGTTCTCATATCCTTTCTTGGACTTGAATATATCATTCAAGCACAAGGAGTCTGATAATATACGAAAACTTTGCATATTCATAAGTCTGTATAAGATGCAAATTTCAACAACTTTATATACTTACAACGTAGACATGAGATGTGTATTGATGTTTGTTTGATTGGACTTTCGCCTGAAAACTTTAGTTTATCCAATATTCAGCATTAATAACTACAAAACACTACAAAATAGAGAAAACAGAATTCTTTAAGTACGCCTCACAATACAAGATTGAAATTGTTGCAGGTTCGCTTTGATTGAGCTTGTTCATGGGCGATAGGGGTAATTGCGAGCTACTGTCCATGTCCGCTCGTATATTGTGGTGAAATTTTGAATTTATAACATTCGCTTATATATTCATGAGGCAGTGATCACGGAACGTTCAATATGACACGTGGGTGCCATTCTATGACTCTATGACTCTATATATCCGGTATGTGTTTTGGTCAGTAAAGGGATTTTACTAACAGCAACACATGACTAATGATAGAAAAATACAACGGAGACTTATAAAGTGCACATAAAAATACCAAAAATAGTGACTTTCTGAACAAACAATATGATAAAACGCTAAAACTATTAAAGAAGAACTTAAATATGCAGGCAATTGACACCAGATTCGCAGCATAACTTTATTACTTGGTTGTTGTCTTTTAAGAATGCCAATGACCACCTTTTTGCTTGTTGAAATAAATTCTTTTTTACAGTGTTCGTTCTATATGTACTTATTAATACATTAATCATTATTTTAAGACGCATTATTTTGGAGATTTTTTTAATAGAAATTCACAATAAAATGGGACATGTGGATTGGTTTATTTTTCACAAGTACACAAATGTATTTCAAATATTGATAAAAATAGGATAAATGTTATTCATAAAAGATATTTATTGGAAACGATTGTTAGATAAAATTCTAAGTGATTTAGTATGAACATTCATATGATGAAAAATAATATTTTGTTCTATAACAAGTTATTATCTGCTCTATTTAGATATCATATATCTCACACTTATCAACAACATTCTATAGATTTCGTTTATTGTTATTTGTTATATATGATCCTAAATTATATTGATATGTACGTTAGTATTTATGGTATTACAGACGTTCAATTATAGATCACTTCACTTAAACAGGCTGTTTTAATTTCACAAAATAGTTAAGAGCACTCGCTAATTCTCTTAATTCTTTTCTACATTCTTTTTAACCATCTCAAATCTCATTAACAATGAAGCTGACAAAATCGTTTGAAATGATCAAGCCTCAACGACATTTGATCCCCTAGAGAAACAACGTTAAGTAATACGTCGACGAAACCATGCTGAAATGACAACCTAAAAGAAACTTTGCCGTAATTAATCTGATTTGTACTGTATTAATCCCAAAAAGAAAGAACTGGTCGTTAATAGATCTATTACGCATTTTATCTAGAACCAGAGAAAACTAATGAAATTAGATAGGATAAGTAAAACTTTTCTCTACAAATGTGTACATATGTTATGTAGAAAAGTAAGAGATGGAATGTTCCTACAATTCCTATTAAAGCATCATCTTATGAATGAGATATTTGAAGCAGAATGCCTCCAAATTCTTGCTTACTTTCATGAAAATTTTAAGATTTAAATATTTGGAAATGAAAAAAGACAATAATTTGTACATTGCAATCAGCACTTACAATACACCTAAAATACCACAAAAAAGATGTCAAAGTAAGCAAATGCCAGTAGAAGTTTTTCAAGATTTATCAATTCATGCAAGATGTAAATATAGGATATTTGTTTGTATTTTGACAAAAAGAGACGAAAAATGTTATATCCAACATCAACCTTACGATGTCTCTAAATTAGCTGCTATTGATTTGTCGATAATTAAGTACATGTTGTCATTGTAATCATTCAATGATCTATCATTTAAAGTAGCATTCTGTATTTCATTATACTGACAAATAAAAGCCGAAAATAATCATGATATCATCTTATCCGGCTTCTGTAATTCATACTTTCGTTTATTATCATTGGTTTAAACATATTTATTTAAGCTCGATTGCGAAACAAGTTCTTGCAACTTATATTAATAACTTTGGAGTCCGCTTCCTGGAACCAACCTGTACTGGTGTCATATGAAGAAACATGGTCATGACCCGAGTATGGCTCAAACTCATGATCACTGGGTTGAGATAGACACCTTTACCACTAGGCCACCGCTCCCCTAATCATAGCATTGTCGTCTTGTATACCATTGTTAGACTGACCAGCAACTATTTTGTTACTGTTGCTTGTTGTTAATCTCCGTACTGAACATGGACTCAAAAATGAAACCCTTTTGTCAGAGGATCTTGAATGTCGTTCTCTTTGTTTACATTGCAAGCTCATTGTTTTACAGAGCTCTTGTCGAAATGAACTGCTCATGCATGTAGAAATGAGAAAGATTGCCGGGTATGTTATGAATTGCCATAGCTGCTTAATTACAGAAAAACAACCAGTTATTGACAACGGCAAAGGTTCGTTAGAATGTTTGACTAATGTATATATGTTTGCAATAGTCAGTGGAATTTCATGCAACAAAACGATCGTCGAAACGACAAAGATTAGCCAAGAAGTTCTCCTGCTTTCATAATCAAGCTTATCTATTGTATGATCACTTACAGACTTCACTGTTTTACGTTTATTTTTATTTCTTTTGTGACAAAGAAAGCTTTGGAAGATATTTGTGCAACAATTTCGTTGAACGCAACAGTTCTTCGTAGTGTTTATATTTCTATATTTGCCATGTAGCGATACAATATTACAATGAGTGTCATCCAACTGATCCTGTCTTGCGGTAACACTCACTTTTGCTTCTTTGGTTACAATTTTATCAGTTTGACGTTCACAGTCTATATCTATACCAATCATTTCAATTGAAGAATTATTTCGTCGCAATGAAGATCTACTCTTATTGCTGCTCTAAGTGCGAGAAGCATAACTGTGGTGTAGTATAAAAGGAATATACAAGGCAAGAAGGAATCTAATACTATTTCAACTATCACATGTGCTTTCCTTCTTGAACACGATTTAAAGAATGGTCCATCTATCTCTAATATTCCACAAGTCACTCGGGTTATATTTGTTTTGAAATCAACGAATGATATTTTTTGAAAATCAAATATAAAATAAGACGGCAAATGTACTATGCAAAAGAGGTAGTATGTACCTCAGGCATAAGCAGGCACCGCGTGTAATACACCTTCTCTATAATTAATTTAACTAAAAGGCCCCCATTTAACTGAGTTGTCGGAAAATTACAGAAGTTGTAAAACACAGGAAAACTTTACTGAGCTTTGATTATACCGTTTTATCGTTTTCGTTCTGATTTTGCTGATTGTGTTAATCATCTTAATTCCAGTATAGACGCCCCAAACTTAGCATATGACTTAAATATGACTACATTTATTCCAAACGGACATATGTCTATTTATTGATTTATGATAATAAAGTATTGTTCTGTTCTGATTGCATGGCAGGGAAAAGATTTGTTATTGATTCACGTCTGTCCGAGCAGATCTAGGCAAAGAAGTACTATTAGTTTATTTATATTACTTTTCGGGTGTTCTTTTATAAAACGCATGGACTCGGTCAAGACATTACAAAAGTAAAGTAAAGTCTGCAGTATTTTTATTTGTGTCTTTGGCGTTTCTATTTTGAAAAGGTGTAAAAGATCATTTATGAAATTTATATCATTGTACATAATCATACACTTAAAGTATAGTATACTTGAAAGCGTTGATATAAATACTGATTATCAGTGATTTTTATCAAGATACGGACTATAAAACGTATTACTACTGTATAAGTACTTATTTTGGCGGGGGTTTATATTTGGCTATATTGGCGGTCAGGGTCAGTAGCGCCAATTCAAAACACCGCCAATTTAAAGCACCGCCATTTTAGATCATCGCCATTATTCTTTGAAAGGTAGACAACTCATGGTAAAATAGCTTTGGTTTGTCCGAGTAATCTCCCTTGATTATTTGTAATAAAAATAAACATTACAAGTAAGCTGAAAAGAATTTGTTTATTTTTAAGTCTTGGTACGAAACTCATTTAATTATATATCTATATACTGTATTTATTACGAAGATAATCACACGACGAGAAACAAATCTAAATGTCATATAAAAATCAGATATGGAATCATGTTACACTTTGTACATTTAATTACTTAACGAAATTTATAGTCCTGCCTTAGAGAAAGACTCGGCAATGATGTCGGGCTTTGTGGCTAGTTTAGAAACAGCCTTAAACCAACCATTGTGCATGCAATGGTTTCACAACAGAAGTCCGCAGGTCAATTTTTATATCTGACAAATCCGTCCCAGCAGCTAACTGTTTTTGAATTTCATCACCGTAAAATGATAGAAACTCTGTCTTAAGATAAGACTTAAATAAATTGTTAGGAATGGGATCCAATGGCTGGACGCGATCCGTACAAGCACCAGGTACAAACACAGCTTTGATTCCATTCCTGTCTAAAAGGTCTAACAGGCTTTGACCCCTATGCGCCTTGTATACGTCAAATATACACAGAGCACGTTGACGTAATGGTAAGTCATCTTCCTCCCGAACATGATCGATGTAAGGAACAATTACATTCTCAACATATCTTAACATGGTTTCTTCCGTAGACCAGTGAGATGGAGAATGAAATATATCCCATCCCTCCGGGAACGTGTACTTCGGGTGACACTGATCAGTCAAACCGGCATAAATGACCTGAGGAGGGGGAACAGATCCAGACTTTGAAAAAACCAGCAGTAAAGTTATTTGGCGCTTGTCATCCATGCCTTTCACAGGAACTTGTTTGGATCCTGTGAAACAAAAATAAATAGATGTGATATTCATGATATTTTGTTTCTTTTTAAAACGCAATATTTATTTATTTTATAGATTTATTTATTTATTTATTATCTATGTTCTATTATTCTATGTTCATTTATTATCGAATTTAAGTAAACTAGTATTTGTTTTGTTTTCACTGTTTTGTTTATAATTTTTAAATAAAAAATAATGTAACTGTAATTTTATAGCAAACAGTTGTGGGGGAAACCGGGGGAAAAAATTTTTTCCCCGCTTTAAAGGGCTGCAAAGGGTAATAGGGGATATTTTTTTCTTCCAAAGGTCCAGTTACCCCACGGTACCATATTTTCACCTCCAATTTTTTGGGGAAAGTTTTTTCCAAAATTTGTAACCTAAAATTCAGGTGAATACGGTTAAAATTGGGCCCGATCTATTTTCGTTTTCCCACTTGGTGTGGTACGTAGCCCCCATTTGCTCCCTCAAATCTGAAAAAGCCAAACATTTGCGGGACTCAAAAGAAAAAGCTTTTCCCTATCTTCGATTTTCGTCGGGCTGGCAGTAAAAAAACCCCGGGGGGTTGTTTATGTTTAATTTACCCCCTTTTAAAACCCTTTATCCATTTCTAGTATTAAACCCCAGGGGTTTTTTTTTAATTTAACTTCTTGCTTGTGGCCTAACTTACAAGTTGAAAAAAATACAGCTAAATAAATGATACATGGTTTAGCGGCGCCTATATATACCTATAAATAGCAAAATATTTGTGATATCAGCTCAACAAATTGCTCGTGCTAATGTTATTCCTATTCATTTGAGAAACATCTCTCTAATCACGATACAAATAATAACAAAAGTAGTTCATGTTTTTATTAAAATCGTTCAGAATTAGCACGATGTAAAGATAAAGGTGACCAAGCATAGGTATACCGTATGCCGTAAAATAAACGAGGACAGTCAACTACTGCGTGACCGGTGTTATTTTTATTTATTTGTTTTATTCTTTATTTGTAATCGCCAATTCATGACCCCATATTTATGCCAACAAGTGTTTTAATTTGGCGGTCTAAAAGCGTTTGCGCCAATTTATGACCCCGCCAATTCAAAACACTTTAAAAAACGCCAACATTTGACACCGCAGATATAATGCGCTATACAGTATTTGAAATTTCAATATTGCTACGTTATTATTATAACTATCAAGTCTCTGAAAAACATATTTGTTTATTATATGATACCGCCTAGCAACACAGTTGTATTATAGTTCTAGTACCTTTTGGTTGTTTTTGTAGGAAGAAAAAATATAAATAAAATGTCAAACCGTTTTAGTCCTTATAATGTTTGTTTAGTAGGTTTAGGTTAGGCACCAAGTTTGAACATATATTGATGTCAAATGTTGTCGAGTTAATCATGTTAATGTTTGTTCATTCTATATTTATTGATATTTGCATCTCAAAGAAAGACCCTATATATTGCTATACGGTCAGGGCCATAGATGTTACTGAATTCTATCAACACACAGCCCTTTCATTTTAAACCAATTCACTTCACAATATTGTTTATTCCAAACTAGTATTGATGTGTTGTTTTTCTTCATTATATTTACGTTGAGCATCATCTTCTTTAAACAAGTCATTTTAAAATGTATATGTCATTATGCAACGGAACTTACCCCCAATATCAGTTGATGAATAAATGTTTTATAAGGAGAAACAATTTTTGTCGTTCATTATCTTGACCATTTCAATCTCAATCAAATGTATCTACATCCTTTGGCTATAATTATACCGGTCAGTAAATTAAGGCACTTTGGCAAATTGAATTTAAGTGTGACGGAAGAAAATAATAACTAGTGATCGCAGATAAGATAATTGCTGGAAATTTACCCACCCTGTATTTGATTGGATAATGTTGAAAATAAATTAAATTTATAAATTATGCACAAAATTCTTTTTAAGCAATTCTTAATATATTTCTAACCTAAAAATAAAGACACTAGAGGTTCATTGAAAATGAAATCCTGTTAAGAAACTGATTTCTATGCCTGACATTTTCTTTAACTATTGTTTTGTACAAAGTACTGTAAATTAAAAAAAAATTCTATTTGTTATTTATGCGCCGAACTATTTGTGTGTTTGTAACATTTGTAAGGGAAATATTAAGTCCTAGTTTCCTTCATGATTTGATACATCACTAAAATGACACGACGAGGCTTGGCTGAAGGGAAAGTTAGATTAACATGTATACATACTCCTAAAACGTAGATTACAGTGCTGTTTCTTTATAAATGATGGCAGGTTTTTCAAAGTGGAAAATTTATATTAGGATTAGTATCTTTGGATATTCCTTATCTCCTCTATTATGAAATACATGTTTGTTCCTTAAACATATCCTATTTAAGGTGAAGTTTAACAGCTAACATCCGACAAACATTTTACTACAAAATATTATGAAATCAAAAGACACTTATTTTTGGGTGAAGTGTCATTACTTTGTCATGTCATATAATATTCCCGACAAGAAGCGCTGGTTCTGATATATTTTTTTTTGCTAGCTGTCAGCAACAAAGAAACTAATTATCTTGAACGGGAGAGTACAGAATAGTCGTTTTATCAGTCGACAACAAAAGTAATAAAACTTTTTATTAAGAATATAAGGTTAGAGAAACAAGTATGTAAATAACATTATGACATTTACATAACAGCACATTAATTCTAATGCAATCATAACATTGTTCTAACAAGATGGTCCTTTAGTGGCCGCTGTCCTAACCTAAAGATAAGGTGAATTGATGTACCAGAATTCATACTTATTGCGTTATTGTCTCTCTATTGAACGGACAAATCGAACATGTGATGAATGATTAAACTACATCTGAGTGCACAAGTATATGAAGAACTGCAAACACCTTTATAGGTTTTCCTTACCAAATATACCAAGTAATATGTACATATAGTAGGCTTACAAAAATAAATTTTGAGTGGTAAGTTTCGCAAATATGCCAATGGAAAATATTTTGAAATAAATTTATTATTCACAGTATGCATACATACAGCGGCCACAAGTACCCAGAAACATTTGGTTGAACATAATTATGGACATGGAAATCCACACCTTCAAAAACATTACAAAGTTTTGTACTGTATTCAAGTTAGAAAAAAACATCAACAATTTCTCATCTTTGTATGTTCTAATGTCCTTTCTTGGACTTGTACATATCTTTCAAGTACGAGGAGTCTGATAATATACGAAAACTTTTCATATTCATAAGCCTTTATAAGATGTAAATTTCAACAATTTTATATACTAACAACGTAGACAAGAGATGTGTATTAATGCTTGTTTGATTTTCGCCTGAAAATTTTAGTTTATCCAATATTCAGCATTAATAACTATAAAACAATACAAAATAGAGAAAACAGTATTCCTTAAGTACGCCACACAAGACAAGATCGAAATTGTTGTTGACTCGCTTTGATTGAGCTTGTTCATGGGCGATAGGGGTAACTTCGAGCAACCGTCCATGTCCGCTCGTATATTGTGGTGAAATTTTTAATTTAGAACATTCGCTTATATATTCATGAGGCATGATCACGGAACGTTCAATATGACACGTCGGTGCCATTCTATGAAAAGTGGCCCAAGATTAAAAGACAAATTAAAATTAATATACAGAGAAACATATGGGTGGTAATTTACTAGTAACGTTTTTGACAGATAAGAAGTCATTAAAAGATATTCACACACTGGGATACAAATTAGGAAGTTCCTGTCTTTAGTTTAGATTGATATTGTTTCCTTTCCTCTGAGTATCGTATTTGTCGTCTGCTTTTCCAGAAAGATTTCATTATAAAGAGAACGATTCAATCTATTTAATCTTGTTTTTTTGTACAAACCAAATTAAAAAAAATTCAGTATATTACGAGAAGATAGAACCAAGTTGTTAAAAACAAATGTATTGATTCAACAGTATCTATTTTAGATTATAGAGCAGTTGACTCGATATATCCAGTATGTGTTTTGGTCAGTAAAGGGATTTTACCAACAGCAACACATGACTTATGATAAAAAAGTACAACGGAGACTTATATAGTGCACAACAATACCAAAAATAGTGACTTCCTGAACAAACAATATGATAAAACGCTAAAACTATTAAAGAAGAACTTAAATATGCAGGCAATTGACACCAGAATCGCAGCATAACTTTATAACTTGGTTGTTGTCTTTTAAAAATGCCAATGACCACCCCTTATTACTTGTTGAAATAAATTCTTTTTTAAAGTGTTCTTTCTATATGTATTTATTAATACATTAATCAATTTTTTCAGACGCATTTTTTTAAAGAATTTTTGAATAGAAAATCACAATTAAATGGGACATGTGGATTGGTTTATTTTTTCACAAGTATTTCAAATATTGATAAAAATAGGATGATATTATTCATAAAAGATATTTATTGGAAACGATTGTTAGATAAAATTCTAAGTGATTTAGTATGAACATTCATATGATGAAAAATAATATTTTGTTCTATAACAAGTTATTATCTGCTCTATTTAGATATCATATATCTCACACTTATCAACAACATTCTATAGATTTCGTTTATTGTTATTTGTTACATATGATTCTAAATTATATTGATATGTATGTTATTATTTATGATATTACAGACATTCAATTATAGATCAATTCACTTAAACAGGCTGTTTTAATTTCACAAAATAGTTTAGAGCACTCGCTAATTCTCTTAATTCTTTTCTACATTCTTTTTAACTATCTCAAAACTCGTTAACAATGAAGCTGACAAAATCGTTTGAAATTATCAAGCCTCAACGACATTTGATCCCCTAGAGAAACACCATTAAATAAGGAATACGTGAACGAAACCTTGCTGAAATGACAACCTAAAAGAAACTTTGCCGTAATTAATCTGATTTTGTATTGTACTAATTCCCAAAAGAAAGAACTGAGTGTTAATAGATCTATTACGAACTTTATCTAGAATCAGAGAGAAAACTAATGAAATTAGATATAGGATAAGTAAAACTTTTCCCTACAAATGTGTACATATGTTATGTAGAATAATAAGAGATGGAATGTTCCTAATATTCCTATTAAAGCATCATCTTATAAATGGGATATTTGAAGCAGAATGCCTCCAAATTATTGCTTACTTGCATGAAAATTTTAAGATTTACATATTTGGAAATGAAAAAAGACAATTATTTGTACATTGCAATCAGCACTTTCAATACACGTAAAATACCACAAAAAGATGTCAAAGTAAGCAAAAATAACCCTCACTGCGTTTATAACGCAGTAGAAATTTGGTGATCTATACCTTAATCGCATAAATTCATTCATATATTGTTTTGACTTTCAAAAACTCTTTGTTCAATATTTTGGCTCATCTGGAGGCATGCAGGTTTAAATCTTCTTACACAAAGTTTTTTGTCAAGCCGTCCATGTATCTATGATTAAAGAAATGAAAAAATATGTTAATTTGATACAATAAAATTAAATTCGTTACGGCAAAATAATTTTCTATATTTCATTTTAATTTGCCTACTGCGAAGACAAGCAAAAATGAAATAAATTGATACTGTATTGTTTTCTTTAGTGATATAAGGATAAACGTTGCCGACCAGATCTTATTACTTAAGAACACATACTCGGATGTTTAACTTTTCCTGTTTCAGATGCCCTTCATTAAATTAAAACATATTATGATATTTTATTGTATTACTTGCGTTGTACAAATCTCAACTAATCTGATGAATAGTAATGGTAATCGATATGAAAATACAGATACTAGTATATCAAACACATTTAATGCCAGTAGAAGTTTTTCAAGATTTATCAATTCATGCAAGATGTAAATATAGGATATTTGTTTGTATTTTGACAAAAAGAGAAGAAAAATGTTATATCCATCATCAACCTTACGTTGTCGCTAAATTAGCTGCTATTGATTTGTCGATAATTAAGTACATGTTGTCATTGTAATCGTTCAATGATCTATCATTTAAAGTAGCATTCTGTAGTTCATTATACAGACAAATAAAAGCCGAAAATAATCATGATATCATCTCATCCGGCTTCTGTAATACATCCTTTCGTTTATTATCATTGGTTAAACATATTTACTTAAGCTCGATTGCGAAACATGTTCTTGCAACTTATATTAATCACTTTCGAGTCCGCTTCCTGGAACCTAACAGTACTGGTGTCATATGAAGAAACATGGTCATGACCCGAGTATGGCTCAAACTCATGATCACTGGGTTGAGATAGACACCTTTACCACTTGGCCACCGCTCCCCTAATCATATCATTGTCGTCTTGTATACTATTGTTAGACTGGCCATCAACTATTTCATTACTGTTGCTTGTTGTTAATCTCCGTACTGAACATGGACTCAAAAACGATACCCTTTTGTCAGAGGATCTTGAATGTCGTTCTCTTTGTTTACAGTTCAAGCTCATTGTTTTACAGAGCTCTTGTCGAAATGAACTGCTCATGCATGTAGAAATGAGAAAGATTGCCGGGTATGTAATGAATTGCCATAGCTGCTTAATTACAGAAAAACAACCAGTTATTGACAACGGCAAAGGTTCGTTAGAATGTTTGACTAATGTATATATGTTTGCAATAGTCAGTGGAATTTCATGCAACAATACGATCGTCGAAACGACAAAGATTAGCCAAGAAGTTCTCCTGCTTTCATAATCAAGCTTATCTATTGTATGATCATTTACAGACTTCACTGTTTTACGTTTATTTTTATGTCTTTTGTGACAAAGAAAGCATTGGAAGATATTTGTGCAACAAAATCGTTCAACGCAACCGTTCTTCGTATTGTGTATATTTCTAACTTTGTCATGTAGCGATACAATATTACAACGATTTTCATCCAACTGATCCTGTCTTGCGGTAACACTCACTTTTGCTTCTTTGGTTACAATTTTATCAGTTCGACGTTCACAGTTCATATCAATACCAATCATTTCAATTGATGAATTATTTCGTCGCAATGAAGATCTACTCTTATTTGCTGCTCTAAGTGCGAGAAGCATAACTGTGTTGTAGTATAAAAGGAATATACAAGGCAAGAATGAATCTAATACTATTTCAACTATCACATGTGCTTTCCTTCTTGAACACGATTTAAAGAATACTCCTTCTATCTCTAATATTCCACAAGTCACTCGTGTAATATTTGTTTTGAAATCAACGAATGATATTTGTTGAAAATCAAATATAAAATAAGACGGCAAATGAACTATGCACACGGCAATCCATAAACATAGAACATATGCTAATATTCTCCTATTTGTATGAATATATCGCGCACTGAATGGAGATTTAATGCATTTGGATCGTATGAATGAAAGCAACACTGTCAGCCATAGTGAAAACATACTGAACATATCCAAACATATTTCACCGAATATATATATTAATTTAGCCATTGTACATGATAAAAGATCAATGTAATGTCCAAATAGAAAGTGGTAAGCATTAATTGAAGCCGAACACATTATTCCAAGCATATCCGCTCCAGCAACCAATGTTAGAATCATTGTTGTATGTGACCGAATATTCGGTTTCTGGAAAACTATGATAACTAGAATATTCACTGCAGCTACAAATATCGCCAGCACTGGTATAATGTAGCCGAATACATAAATAGAAAGACTTAAACAATTCGGATATAAATCCTTCATTCGCAAAATGATACGGTCACCGCAAGAACGGTTCATTTTTCAAATAAAATGTCTTCTTTGAAATGTTTAAATTCTGGTACAGTTGCTGAATTCGTCAAATGAAATCATAGAACAATTTACGTCATCATGACTAAATAGCAGCTTACAAATATTAGAATAAACACTATCTTCAAATGTCTTCCGATATTTATCACAAAACATCTTCATAGTATCCTTGAATTTTAGTAACAAAAAAAGTTGAAATAGTTCGAACATCATATTGTTTTTCTCTTATAACAACAGTAAATCTGTAACTTTACTTTAGCACTGAAAGCCTAAAATGAGTTGTTGGTTTTGTAAGAAAACCTTTCTGTAATGTAAATGGATTATTGGAGTTTTGTTTTCTCATCCGTATGTTATATGAATGTTCTAGCTATTTTCCTATCAGATATCATTATGTTCTAAGACGTTTATTTCACACATCATTATGTCACGGTGTTCACAATTCACAATATGTTATTGGGCAGTCGCCTAAGCGACTATCCTTGAAATCTGCGTTACAATTTTACAAAAGTGAATTTTCAGTACCTTACGTGGATAAAAAAGAACTAGAACTAACCAACTAACTAAATTAATTAATTAATCAACAGAATTCTAAGCCATCGTTTGAATTATCTAGTAATTGTTTAAATTATAAGTAGGGAATTGAATAAAGATATAGATGAAAATAGGTAGTTAGTATGTACCTCACCATATAGGCCTACATTAAATTAATAAGTAGGTATCAATAATGCAAAAACTAGCACGTGAAATAAACCTTGTCTATGATAAATTTGATCAAAAGCCCACATTCTACGGAAATTGTCGGAAAAATTACAGAAGTATAACTGATAATACCAATTTATCACTTTCGGTTTGAATTTGCGGATTAATTTCCGTAAAGACATCCCATATTTAGCCTATGACTGTATTTATTGACTGTATCGGTAAATATATTACAAAAGTAATCATTGCCTTAAATTCAAAATAACCGCATTAAGTTATGGCTTGAAAAGGCTCAATCAAACCGAGCCTGCAGCATTTTTAAATTGTGTCTTGGGCGGGTTTTTTTTTTATATTTTTTAGGAATCCGTTTTTCTCTGTTTTGAATGGGTGTAAATTATCATTTGTCAAATTTAAATCAATGAACACTATCATAGAGTATGGTATACTTTAAAGCGTCGATAAACATGCTGATTATCAGATGCTTTAATCAAGATATGTGCTTTTGAACGTATCATTAATTGAAATTTCAATATTGCAATGTTAACATTATAACCATCAACCCACTGAAATCTTAGATTATTATTATTATTATTTGTTAATTATATGATACCGCCTAGCAACACAGTCGTTTTATAGGTCCAGTACCTGTCAACTTTCATTAAAAGTTGTTGTTGCGTGAATAAATGTTTATTAGCAATCTAATACGAACATTACCGTATGGAATAGCATATATTTATCTTTACTTTTTTATTAACATTTTTTGTGGTTGTACTTGTTAGAAGGTAATATAAATAAAATGATAAACCATTTAGTCCTTATAATGTTTGTTTCGTAGGTTTAGATTAGGCACTTACATTGAACAAATATTGAAGTCAAATGTTGACGAGTAAACCATGTTTGTACATCCTATATTTATTGATATTTGCATCTCAGAGAAAGACCCTATAAATTCCTATACGGTCAGGGCAATAGATGTCACTGAATTCTATCAACATAATTACTTACGGTATGCGGACAGATCTTTCATTATAAACCAATTCACTTCACAACATTGTTTACTCCAAACTAGTATTGATTTGTTGTTTTTCTTCATTATATTTACGTTGAGCATCATCTTCTTTAAACAAGTCATTCTAAAATGTATATGTTATTATACAACGGAACTTATCCCCAAATATCAGTTGATGAATAAATGTCTTATGAGGAGAAACAATTTTTGTCGTTCATTATCTTGACCATTTCAATCTCAATCAAATGTATCTACATCCTATGGCTATAATTATACCGGTCAGTAAATTTAGGCACTTTGGCAAATTGAATTTAAGTGTGACGGAAAGAAAATAATGACTAGTGGTCGCAGATAAGATAATTGCTGGAAATTAACATTGGATAATGTTTAAAAAAAACAATTTATAAGTCTGCATACCATTCTTTCTTAGTATTTTTTATATATCTATAACCTAAAAATAAAGACAATAGAGGTTCATTTAAAATGAAATCCTTTTAGAAACTGTCTTCTATACCTGACAATTTCTTTATCTATTAATCGGATGAATCCTCTCTAAACTGTACCTAAAAAAAGTAAATTAGATGTTATTTTTTTATACCGAACTATTTGTGTTTTTGTAACATATGTAAGGGAAAGTTCAAGTCCTAGTTTACTTCATTACTCGATATATCAGTTTAATGGCACGACGAAGCTTGTATGAATTTAGAGATAAGAAAAAGTTAGATAAACATGTATACAAACGGAGATTACTACACTGTTTCTTTTAAAATGATGACAGGTTTTTCAGAGTGGACGTTCCTATTAGGATTAGCATCTTTTGGTAAGCATTATCTCCTCAATTATGAAGCACATGTTTGTTACTTAAACGCAATCGCATGTAGGACATACAGACCATTATTTAAAGTAAATTTTTAAAAGTAGCATCCACTATAAATGCTATTCACCTGCTAGTAAGAATTGTGAGATTCTTGTCTTAAACATACTGGTGTAAAACTAGCAAGGTAGAATAGTGGTTATTTACACGCTCATTTTTTTGTGTAGATAGCCTTACTTTTTCAAGATCTGATAACTTTATAGCTTACAAACAGTATGGTCCTATTGAAACACCATTGCTCAAAGGATACTGTTCCGAACAGCTGAGAACTTCGCGTGAAAAATTGTTTATTAACAGTAGTTAATTTAATTTCGACGTCAACGACATTTGCTCCTTTAAGATCTTTCATTGACAATTTTGGCTTTTACAAGAGAAACGCAAAATGTATTATTTACAAAGAGTGTTGTGTGGTAGCTGTAGAATGTTACTGTGTACTCCATTTCAATCTTGCTATGAGGGTTCATCCACCTGCAAAAATGTCTCAACATTTTAACAAGATTCTTTCACGTGATAAATCTATCAAGTAAAGGCGGTGGCTCTACTCAAGTGCCTGCTCGAGTCTGATTGATACACGGTCTGGCATGTGAGGTCTTCCTCTCTTCCTCCACGAGTAAAGGTGGAAAATAGCAATATGACCATAACACTGTCTGTGTGACTGAAAACTCAATCAAAACAAGCAACCAAAATACACGAACCTTTAATTGTGAATTCATGAACAGGTATTAATGAACACATGAGGTTTTTTATGTCTCCATCGATCTTTTTTTGCATGCATTGTACTTGTGTTTTGCCTACTGTTATAAAGTGTGTCTTGTGATCTGGTGTTTATGTGACTTTAAATGTATTTATATGTATTGTGGTCAGAATAATGAATAATTCTCTCTCTCTCTCTCTCTCTCCCCCCTCTCTCTCTCTCTCTCTCTCCCTCTCCCTCTCTCTCTCCCTCCCTCTCTCTCTCTCTCTCTCTCTCTCTCTCTCTCTCTCTCTCTCTCTCTCTCTCTCTCTCTCTCTCTTTGTATATTTACAAACCAATTCTAATCTATCATTTATTTTAGCTATTATAGGATTTGTTCAGTGTACGGACTGTCCTGATGGCTGGGTTGCCTACGAAGGATCGTGTTATCTGTTTGGACATGGTGTGAATCACACGTTTGTAGATGGTGAGGTCTGTAATTCAACTGATGCTTTCTGTAATTGTTCCAAAATGCAATTATCGTCCCCATTTAATGACATAAAACATTTGTTCTCACACTATCGAAGATTTTCCTTATATAAACAAAGAAGGCCGGAAGTGTGATAATTATATTTCACATCAGAGACACTCACCGTTCTTATTTCCTCCCTACGTATTTGCAAACCGACACATTGGCGGCTCCATTTTTTTTTAAAAATCTGATAAACTTAAAACATCTTTTGTTGAATTTTGCTCCAAAAACTATCTAGAATGACAGAAAATGATCTAAGAACACCAATATCCTTAATGCAATGTTTAACGCTGTACAGGCCTTTAAAGTGTTATTAACGTGACGTCACAATGTAGCGCAAAACCGTATTTCAATGTTACAAAACAGTTAAATATCACTATTATTTCACGTTTAATACTCGTTATTCGCTTGAAAAAAAAAATAAAATAAAATAGACACAAAATAACTTTTTCAACGTTCTCAAATTTTGTTATTCTTAAAATATGTGCAAACAGTAGTTTAACGACAGTCTTTTCAACCGATTGGAACAGCCTTTTAAGAACGTTGCTGGCGAAAACAAATTTCACCACCAAAGATGCAAACAAAGTTTATGTTTTTTCTTGACGTGTTAGAATGTATATAGATCATGATTTTGAGTTAACTGTGTTAACTGTATATATTTATATATATATATATATATATATATATATATATATATATATATATATATATATATATATATATATATATATATATATATATATAACACAAGATATGATAACAGAGAACAAACTCTATATATGTGAATGTTGAGCTTGTTTCAATGTGTAGTGCAGTTTGTGACTGTATATAAAGCTGTTCTGAAACCATCATTTTTGTGATGGTGGATGAGCAGTGGCTATGCTTTCATGACTGTTCTGCTAGGCGCTGTGCCGTAATTGGACTGGCATATCGATGTGGTGGTATGTGTGTATATATTCTCTCATTTCTATCAATTTATCTGCACACTTGTATCTTAAGTGATCCCACGCAGGGGAAAGTATAAATGTATTGAATTTAATTATCTCCCTTTATATATACTTTATCTGTCTAAATTCATTGTATCCTACGGATCTACTTGATCTTACGTGATCCAGTTGACTTTCGGAAATAGATATATAGTTCTCTGGTCCCAATCAGTGAAGAAGACAATAAAAATGTCATCGTTGATTTGTGAGATATGATAACAGAGAACAAACTCTATATATGTGAATGTTGAGCTTGTTTCAATGTGTAGTGCAGTTTGTGACTGTATATAAAGCTGTTCTGAAACCATCATTTTTGTGATGGTGGATGAGCAGTGGCTATGCTTTCATGACTGTTCTGCTAGGCGCTGTGCCGTAATTGGATTGGCATATCGATGTGGTGGTATGTGTGTATATATTCTCTCATTTCTATCAATTTATCTGCACACTTGTATCTTAAGTGATCCCACGCAGGGGAAAGTATAACTGTATTTTGAATTTAATTATCTCCCTTTATATATACTTTATCTGTCTAAATTCATTGTATCCTACGGATCTACTTGATCTTACGTGATCCAGTTGACTTTCGGAAATAGATATATAGTTCTCTGGTCCCAATCAGTGAAGAAGACAATAAAAATGTCATCGTTGATTTGTGAGATATGATAACAGAGAACAAACTCTATATATGTGAATGTTGAGCTTGTTTCAATGTGTAGTGCAGTTTGTGACTGTATATAAAGCTGTTCTGAAACCATCATTTTTGTGATGGTGGATGAGCAGTGGCTATGCTTTCATGACTGTTCTGCTAGGCGCTGTGCCGTAATTGGACTGGCATTTCGATGTGGTGGTATGTGTGTATATATTCTCTCATTTCTATCAATTTATCTGCACACTTGTATCTTAAGTGATCCCACGCAGGGGAAAGTATAACTGTATTGAATTTAATTATCTCCCTTTATATATACTTTATCTGTCTAAATTCATTGTATCCTACGGATCTACTTGATCTTACGTGATCCAGTTGACTTTCGGAAATAGATATATAGTTCTCTGGTCCCAATCAGTGAAGAAGACAATAAAAATGTCATCGTTGATTTGTGAGATATGATAACAGAGAACAAACTCTATATATGTGAATGTTGAGCTTGTTTCAATGTGTAGTGCAGTTTGTGACTGTATATAAAGCTGTTCTGAAACCATCATTTTTGTGATGGTGGATGAGCAGTGGCTATGCTTTCATGACTGTTCTGCTAGGCGCTGTGCCGTAATTGGACTGGCATATCGATGTGGTGGTATGTGTGTATACATTCTCTCATTTATATATATATATATATATATATATATATATATATACATATATATATATATATATATATATATATATATATATATATATATATATATATATATATATATATATACACATCCCTTTAGATGTTAATAATTAATCACTCGGGCTTATGGCCTTCGTAATTATATGACTGTATAACTATAACTGAACTCCACCCGTGCTTCATTATTACGCAGATTACATTACTCAAAATTAAGATCTATTTCCCATTTAAATACAGTCCAATTATTAGTACTTTACGTAATATGTTTAGATCGCCATTTTACATTCAATATGTAATAACTGATAGCAAAAAGATCACGTGAGATTATATTCTTTATTCCTTACAGCATTTTTGTCGTCAACATCACAATGGACATTTAGTAGAAATTGATTCTAAGGCAGAAAACCTGTTCCTGAAAGATTATATAAGAGGTTTCGGAGGTAATTAATTTTAGACAATTTCACAGTTTTACATCACGTGTAAACAACCATGAGGAGATCGTGTCTCCTTTCTATTTCAATTTTATTATCGAAGTAAATGTGTTTTCCCTCTGTACATAGTTTATGGAATAAACTGCGCATATTACATACTACAAAATCACCTCTATAATTAAACATTTAGTAATTTTTTTTTAGAATTCTTACTTATAGTCATTATTATGTAACAATTTTGATCTTTTTTCAACAATAATGCATACCATTTGCTTGTTTGGGTAGCTTTCTTCCAAATACTTCCAAATAATCAAGGTATTTTCATTGATCAAAAACAAGAAGTTAAAATATAAGTGTTCAATGTTATCTAAATAACATTTTATTTTCATCCGGCCTTCCAAAGAAGAAAAAGCAACTATTTATCACAACAATAAAAAGAAATTAATGTAAAGTAAGAAACACACCAAAAAGAAACACCAATACAAGAAAATGTATGTTTAGTATCGTTAGTGCACGGTCTGTTTGTATGTTTGTAATCTATGAAGACATATTTATTTACACAGAGCATTTAGAATGTATTAATCGATAAAAATCATGTCTTGTTCATAATAAATATACTTTAAGTTTATGTATTTCGTTCAGGCCATTGCTACTGGATAGGTCTTTCTGATGAGCAAATTGAAGGCTTGTGGGTTTGGTATAACGGCAATACAACTCCTGCTTTTTTTGACTGGGGTCCTTCCCAACCAAGCCCTGGTAATGCCGAAGACTGTGGTGTATTCTGGGGACCATTTGATTACAAATGGGGAGATCTGCCTTGTGACTATAAATGTCAACCAGTTTGCAAGAAAAGGTATCCAGTTTTTTCCATATTTTTACATCTGGTATTAAAATTAAGTATATGGATATGAAAGCTTTTACCAGGTGCAATGAAGTTAATTACATTTTCCTTTGGTAACGATAAAGTCATTAAACACAAAAGAGGTTATCCTTAATACGTTTCGTGACGGTTTCTATTCTTTTTCCTTATTGAATGTCAATTTAAAAAAGGGATGACTGCGCCTGGACATTATAGATGTTACGAATCTCTGCTATTTCACATTAAGATATTATTTCTTGTTTGTTTATTCACATTTGTAACGTCCATGATATGTTTTAGGTATATAACTTTAAACTAAATTATATGGGGGATACGTTTGTGTCAATATAGATCTGTTTTTCTCCAAGCGATGTCAGTCATGTTTTCATGCAATGCTGTTTATCTGGTTAATATGATGTGATATGTACTGAAAAAATATTAATGGCATTATATTCACCAGCTTAATTGTATTTATATGTTTTATTTACGAAATAATATATTCCAAACAGTGATTTATCGCTCAATAAAATCACTGTTTGGAGTTCGGATGCGAGGAATTATATCACGAGGGCGTAACCCGAGTGATATTATGATGCGCATCCTAACGACAAAGCGAGCGATAAAAGCACCGATTTGGATATATTATTTCGATTCTTTCACGACATCAACAAATAAATGCTACCGTACCTGATATTTACCCAAATTGCGCCTGATTTGTTTCCAGCGTCAGATTTTAGTGGTTACATCACGTGTATAAAGATTACGTCACATATCACATATATAGAACGTCAAGCATAATAACACACACTTTCGGTTCTTCTATGTTCAATAGGGAAAAATGCGGGTCGTGTTAGAATATATATCAAATAGATATATTGTATATGGCATATCAAATTGGCGTTCAAACAGGACGAAAATCGACATTTCTTAAGCTTACTTTTTCTGTTATCAGGCTATATACTTTTAAAAGAACATACTGGTATGATAAGAAGTACAGTTAAGACACAAAAAGACAATACATTATAATCTACTTGAATTTTTAATCGTGCATTTCGCCATTTTTCTCAGAATTATAACGGGACGTCAAATCATATCCTCGCGTCCTTTGCCGGATATCCGAATTTCTAAGCATACAAATGCCACGAAGAGAATATATTTGAAGTATCTATTTTAGGCTTTAGGGATAAAAGTGAATATACTCTAAGTATTCCCCTGTTACTTTCACAAAAAGTGGACTTAACGTCTTTTTTACATATCAGTACAAGGTATTTCAATGATATTTATATACTATATGTAATAAAACCTGATACTACAGTATTAATAAATTATATTTACATGTCTTTTTTCAGTGGAGGTGAAACTGTTTCTATTGTCGGCTAAGTCATCTGGATAATTTAAATAGTCAATTTTAATAAAATGATATACTTGTCAAAACCCTTATTTCCTTCAATCTTTAACACTGTCGTTAATAACTTAACAAAATACACACATGAATGCCAATGCAACTAAATTCTCAAGTTTGTTTCGCGGAACCAGTGGTGATAATAAATTTCCGCACGTAATGAAGCTAAATTCCATTTTGCATTGTCCGTTTGTGTGTGCAGACGTACACTCGCGCCTCTGTTGGTTAGGAGAACCTTATTATACAATAAGATAAAAGGCTATGGTGATGTTAGAATTAAAGGTCGCTAAACAAACAATCATTGTTAATTTCTAAAAACACATTACATCATTTCAAAACAACTGTTTTTTCTGATCAGAACAGTACGGAATTCCATAAACGACAGCCTACTGCTCACTGCCTACTGCTTACTGGACAGCCTGCTGCTCACTGCCTACTGCTAACTGCTTATTGGCAGTCTAAGTCTATGTATGGATCAAATAGAAGTATTCCGAATGTACACACATGTGCGCCCGCCATTTTGTGGGAAAAAATCTGCTTGGAAAACAATGGTAAGTAAATTAAAAAGGATTATTTTATAATTAAGCCTAAACATTTGTAATTTCGAATTCATTGCAATGACTTGTGTACGTCATCATTGCACACTGCATTGATTATGTTATGAAATGGTTCCACGTGCCTTTTGCACAGGTGATTGATAAATTGTCAAATACAGGACTCATTTTAGGGTAAATCAACTTAATACTATTTTATTCACAAAGAATCTTTGTTCAACAATCAACATGGACGTACTTGAGCCCACTATTCCTCGGTTGAGATCTGGACCATTATGTCAACACTCCCTTATTCTATTTAGAATTTCATAGTTTATTAAACTTTCATTTGACAATGTAATACATTTCTAGAAGAATATCTGTAATATACTGGTGAAATCACTGATGAAATTTAGGCTAAACATTCTCTCATAATCAAAAATGTGTGAGTTCATTTACGAGGTCATTTTGGTTCAGTTTTCATTGGCTGTTAGTTATATAGCTTATAAATGTGTAATTCCTTATTAGATGTTATGTAATGCATTTTTGTTAAGTTGATTGCACTGTTGATAGTTTATGTTGCAAAGATATGTGTTTTTAATGTTAATTATAGAATCAATTTTATTCCAGTCCAGAGGATGATAAATCTGACAGAAACATTTCAATGGAGGAACAGCCTATACTTTCATTTACTTCACAGACAAGTAACAGAACTATTACACCTGTATGAAAATATTGAAATTACAATGGAAGAGGAAAAAGACTACATAAATCAATTGGTTCTTATAATCGAGTTTAACTCGGCTTCCTTCTGAAACCATAAACAAAGACAAACTTGGCTGTATTCAAATTGTTTCAAAAACGTTCAATATTTCAATGACATAAAGAGTGCAAACATGAAGTGATAAATTGCTGTTTGGACCAGCTTATTTTACTTTTATGAAAAGCCATCGTTATTCTCTTGTTTAAATTCAATTGTGCTATTGAAAAACTCTGAGAAATAATAAATTCTTACTTAAACATTTCTGATAGACAAAATGATCATGTTAATGTTACAATATATTTTTGACGTGTTTGTTTAAAATCCATCTTTTATATAATTTTTATAATTACATGTATCTTGTTAACAAGCAAACTTAAAAGTGAACTCTAAGGTTGGCTATTTTTCTATTTCTTTTTGCAATTACCGCAAGTAAAACCAATGAACAAATCTGCCTTCGTATTTGCCAGAATCATCCAATGAAAGTCATTGCTATTTCTATCAGGGTTTTAAAGGTTTGACAACTAAGGTAAACAGTTCTAAGACATCGTGATAGTGTAGAGCTTCTATGGTATAATATGAAGCATTTTAAGTTACCATTCTTACATCGTGTATATCACTTTATATTGCAGAGTATATTTACATTAATATAATTTCATAACAATTATATAATTCATAACAGAACTTTTAATTATAATTCTGCTTTTATATTAATTGCTTTCCCCGAAACTTTACAAATATTTTATATAGATTTTGATTTTTTACAGGCGTGTCATAATTCTTATTTGAAATAACGGCGTATACAAGAAAATATTAACTTAATGGTCTGAACATACTTTTTATGTGGTGTATTTAAGTGTATTTTGTTTCCGTTTTTAATTGAAAATAAAAAAGTTCTTTAAAAATAAAATATCATAATTTTCTTGTAATTTTGTTTATGTTTAGCTCCCTCCCCACAGAAAACAAAATTATGACAAAATGAATTGAAAATGGTTATATATCTATGTTAACCATAAAGCAAAGTTTGTTTGTTGAATGTTGTAACATGACCAATTTGGAAAAAAATCAACATTGTTCTCATTTAAACAGCGTCTTAGTCCATCAATTTTTAATGCATGGGGTCGCGAAAAGTATGCATTAGGAAGATCAAGATTACGTTGTATTATTAGTTCCATAAGAAATACTTCTGAAGCTCCGATATCTGGCAAGTTATTTGAATATTTTTCTTCAAAACAGCTTTACAAGTTAACCTCTCTTTTCTTAAGACAATGAAATAAAATTACGGACGTCCAGCAATATATTGATTAGTCTGTTTTCTATCCTGTGGTTTTAATGCCTTTATCAAAAGTTATAAATATCAGAATGTAACACAGGCAATACTGCAAAAACTAAGAAATTACACGCGGAAGACATTACATTGACTCAAATTTAGGATGCCGCAGTTCATCATATCATTAAACAAATACTAACATCACTTTGTATTAATAATGCCCAAGTAACTCTAAAGAGCTTTCAATGATTTTATTATGCACCGACTTTCCAATTATAACACAATAATTGACATGTTAGTCATCATGCTTCGATCTGTCGAATAAGTTTTTAACATCAACTAAAGTAACATTTTCTTGAGTCAAATCTAAGGCTTTGTAGAATTAAGGTATACATGTACGGTCTACAATCACCAGAACAAGTATGAACTTTTTTAGATAGAACTAAACGGTCCCATGTATGATTTGGACCATGAAGTGTGTATACACTCTCCCAGTACGTTTAACGTTTATCAGAATAAACTACTGTTAATTTGAGACGTGACTGGTATATATAATTGTGTCTGAAAATCTATATATCTATGTTTTGAGCACTATTCATTATCTAGATTATTTTTTAACAAAACATTATAGCTTTATTTTCAAAATGCGAACATAAAACTGACCGTTGTGATGACATTACAAGATAATATAGAGAAAAACAGAATCCCTAAAGAAAGTCCAACACAACAAAATTGAAAATGTTGCAGGCTCGGTTTGATTGAGCCTGTTCATGGACGGTACTGGAAAGTGCAAGTTACCGTCCACGCCCCCCCCCTAGCACCGGCTTAAGCAGAATTCAACATTAAAACACGACATTTTGAATTTAGAAACATCCGCAGATGTGTTCATACGACGGTTATCATGGAACCTTCAATGTGACACAGTAGTGCCATTCCATGAAAAGCGGCGTATGGTCCCCAAGTAAAAGAATGCCTCCGTTTAAAAATATCATTAAGCTCTATAGTTATAGGGTATGGTCAATACCATTCAATGAACAAATATTATAATATACATGTTATATGGTAGATGTATCTAAGGTTGAACAGGGATAAACATGTATAAATAATTAAGCAAGCAGTTATATTTGTTAGCTCAAAATTACCGAACAAGATTTAATGACAGAAAAAACTTGTAATATTTGGTTTGATAACATTTTTATAAAGTTTACAGGTCTATGATTTGGAAAAGTTCCAAATGCCTGCAAAGATATATACTTATTTTCTGCTTAGTAAAACGAGAATTATACATGTACATGTATAAATGTAACAAGTTCCAAGGTTTCAGTCAAAGTCTTCATAAATGATACATAGTAATTCTTTGACCAATACTGTTTCAAACGGCCTCATTGTAACATATAAATACATTGGAAGAAGGACATAAAAGCCAACTTTTACTTTCAGGCAACTAATCGTGTATTAGACAGGTGTAACAGTTGGCATTTATCAATTAACAGTAAGCATTAAACAGTCGCTGTAAGCATTGAGCAGTTGAAAGTAAGCAGTTGAAAGTAGGCAGGTGACAGTAAGCAGTTGACAGTAGGCAGTTGACAGTAAACAGTAGGCTGTCGTTTATGGAATTCCGTAGAACAGAAAAACTTTCAATGATAAATTTTGTCCGTTTGTGGTAGCTTTATTTTTTATGGCCACATTATATTTCTCGTGTAAGAGTCGCAGACGCTTATCTAAATGACATTTTGCTCTTTTTTATTTCTCTTATGTTTTAATTTTCAAATTGATTTGGTGATTGACAAACAGTTGATATTTGAAAATGTTAAATAAATGTCTGCCTAAAATAATAAAAGACTGCACAGTCTTTTTATAAACTGAACGTTGCAGGTAAATTCCAATGGATATTTACAAAAAAATGTCTTTGGACCACGTTGGTTATTATCAGTAAATTATGAAATTGAAATTAATTATGGCGAAATGTAAACTTTGTTTGACGTTAACTTGTTTACTCACTATATACCCTGGTATAATTGGCATAATGTTACTTTTAAGAAAATTTTTTCAGTAACATATCAATTTTGTTAAATTCATTATCTGCTTTTGAATTCATTTCTTTTCCCTGTGCAGTTTCTTTTCTTTTCAAGTTATCAAGCATAAAATACTATGTTTTATTTCATGCTTTCCAGTGTTTTATTGTAATATATCAGATAATTATATTCTGATAAACCACTAGTGAAATTTATAAAATATAATTTTCACTGTAGCCGGACTATATCTGAATGCGGATGAAAAGAAAATCATAACTAAATGGAATATCAGGCAGAAATAAATGCCTTCATACGTAAATTTTGCTTCTTTAGGAAAAGAAAGTCGATGTCACCATACATCATGTTATAAATGTAACAAAATTAGAGAAATTTAACAGAACTATATTTCAAAATTGATGATGTGACGTCAT